TTTTACAAAAAGTACTCCTCATTTTTCATATTAAGTTCGTCTGCATTTTCTGTGCAATTGATTGTGAAGAGATACAAGCCTGCTAGACTGATTCTCTGATCTTACAATTCCCCAAAGTCTATAAATTGCTCCGTTTCACTTTAAGTGGGGTCAGGGAACCAGACTTCAGGAACATGGTTGGTTTTCTTGGTTTTTCCAGCACCTACAAGCCCAAAACGTGAAGCAAGTCAGTTGAACAATATTTGCTATAACATACTAATCCTCCAAAGCCATTTATTTCTGAAAATTGCAGCAAAAGCAAATGTTGTACATTCCCTTTAAAATAAATCATTACGCCCTGGAAAACCGGTACATTGCGGATACAGCCTTTATGTTTGGCACGATCAGTCAATTTGCGCAATTCGTCGATCGCGTTGTTCTATTAGTCGATCATGATGCTATCAGTCAATCTCTGTGCCACCAGCCCAACACCTTTTCATTCTAATTTCACGGCTCTGGAGAATTTAAAGTCCGAGATATGAAATTGAATCGACCCACGGAGCAATGCAATCGACCGATGGCACCCAACATAAAGGCTGAAAATTCTCGGAAATGGGGCTTGTATATTAAATGATGGCGCCCCCCCCCCCCCCCCCTTTCCAGGGCTGGTTATATTTTTGGTGTTGTCCCCTTAAAATTCCCCCCACCCCCGGGCCCCCCATTTTTGCTAGGATGTAACCTCAATCTGACAGGCAAAATCTTCCAACTGCCTTAATCCATTTTTTAATTTTTTATTTATTTAAATATTTATTTATTTATTTATTTATTTATTTGCCTTACATGTGCAGAGACGTCCACACTGCAAACAAGTTGAGCGGGACAGAATCTGAGAGTTATTAGGGTTTACCCAACACTTTGAAGAAGGTAAGTACATATGTGCACAATGCACTTTCTTTTGTGGTCATCCACTTTGAGTTTCTCATAAGAAAAGTGCTTGCAATTCCTCAATTCCAAAGTCAGCGATTTCGTCTTTTACAACTTTTGTTGAAACCTCACAATGCCAACAATGACATTTCAATTCGGGCGATTCACAATGCAGTGCGCCACCAAGAGTTTGCCACGGAGAGTCCATTTGTCAAGTTTACGGTCGACAAAACATGGCCCATTTGAATGAGTGTCACACTTACACCTACACTTAAGGTGTGATGGGAATCGGTAGACAACTTGAGCTAATATGTCATAGATTGGGGCATAGCGTTCTGCCTCCTTACCAAAAAACCATATTGATAACAAGAAAAGAAATGGGCAAACAGAGCCTCGACTCATACGCTTATGAAACCACTGATTGGAAAAACTAACGATTTCAAATGTCCCGCGCTGCGAATTTGTCGACCATCTCCCACAATGCACTGGGAAAAATGAACTCTCCGTGGCAAACTCTTGGTGGCGAATTGAATGGACCATTTGGCATTCTGTGTAGTTTTTCTGGGACGCACTAAAATTGCTCGAAATGTTTAGTAGGGTGCCTAACACCTACATGTACAAAATGTACCTACATGTACTGACATGACTGAGGATTCAGTGCTGCTACACATTTTCAGATAACAGAGAAACCCAATGCACTATTTTTCAGTTTCATAAGTTGATTCTGTTCCTAGCACCTCCTATTCAAAAGTTGCTGTTTCATATGTTAAATTACACAATCCATGAATCGCTTGTGTTCTAAACATGGCTCTCATTCAATCAGTTGGTATTTAACCAGTGGCGTATCCAGAGGGGGGCAGAGGGGGCACATTGCCCCCCCCCCCCTCCCCACAGATTTTTTTTGCCTTTCAGCCTCCGAAATCTTCCAACTCTGCCTGGAGGATTTTGGAGGATTGAGGAGGGTTAGGGAAGTCTATGGCACACTTCCATGACTAGGACATACCCCCACCTTTTGAAAATCAGGCCATTAAAGTGTGCTCAGAGTTCTTTGTTCACAGTGATAAACAAGCTTTGTACAATGATTCTGAAATTGTTCTTGTAACAGTGTATAGCGCCCTCTATTGGCTAGAGTTTGTTTTGCACAGTATTGCACCATATGGTACACTTGTCAAAACAGCAAAAATGTGATGAAAGTTCAATAAAAATGAATCGGGATATTTTTCAAAGTTGAAGTGTTGCAAGAATGAGGAAACATCCTTTCAAAAATGAAATCATGTTTTCTCAAATGAAATCGTGTGTGTTTTTTGTGTGTAAATTGGGGAACGTTGCTTGTTTAGTTTGGAAAATTATAATGATTTTTCTTTTGGAAGTGAATGTAATGTGATACTAATTTTATTACACTCGTAATTTCATATCGTCAAGGTAATTTTTCTCCCAAAATTTATTTTTGTGTGTGTGAGACTTTTTCAGTGAAATGAAATGTACGGTAGACTCACAAAAGACCCAAGATTATCAAAATTTTAAAATTGGAATTTGAAAAAAGAAAAAAAGAAAAGAAAAAAAATTAACCTACTTTTGGTTTGAAATCCTGATATTTGATTTATATGACAATGGTGTTCGTTAAGTTAATTAACATGTGTTCTTGATGATCATTCCGTTGAGAGCAATATTCATTACTTCATCCGAATTTTCCAATGGTCCCTTGGGCAAAAGGATCATTTCACACTGAAATTGTCAGAGCAAAATTTCCTGTTTTCTTCAAAAACATAAAAAATCCCACCTGGAAATGTAAGACGTTTTGCTCCACCGCTATCCGTTACACCTATCTAGTCATGTGTCAGTCGCTGCACTCGTTTAAAAGTCATCTTTTCTTTGCCAAAGTGTAATTAAGAAGAGAATTGGGCACGGCCTCCGAAAAAAATTGTGAGGAACGCGGAGTGTAAAAGACAACAAGAGTTTTGAATGCGAAGAGAAAGATAGGAATTAGCTGATTCTGTGATTTTGTCGGTGATGCTCCGGTGAAGCACATCTCGTCTGCATCCTTGGTCGCTCTGGCGGCAGACTCGTGCTCAGAGAAACTGAGAGAGAAAAAAGGGGAGTTTGGGGGGGGGGGGGCGGTCAGAGGAGGAGGAGGGAAGAAGCACGATGATATATATTTTCCTTGCTGCTTCCTTCCGGGGGAGCGCAGTAATTGGAGATTACCAGAGCATGACTGGACATAGCCAGGGAGGCCCATCTTCGGTATTAATGAAAAAGTGCCGAGTGATGAGAGATGCAAGGAGCCCCAGCGACGAGGGCCCGCCGTGGCGTCGACGCGCAGGACAATTTATGTCCGGTTGATGCAAAGACCAGATGCAGGCCGCATGCTAATGAGCACTTGCAGTCTCTGAGCAAGGCTCTTAATTGTTTGAAATTTGTATTTTAAAAATTTTTTTACTGAATTTTTTTTTTTTAATTACACATTAATGCCGGGGCTGAAATTACCGTCTGACGTCTCACATTTAACAACCATTTACCATATTTCTCCAAATATGTACATTTGTACTGTTATAGTGTATCATAAGTGATTGTAACCGCTTAAAAATTGATGGAGCGTGATATTTTTTTCCCCCAAGCAGTTTTTGTGTCTTGTTTTGTTGTTGTTTTCTGTGTTTGCTTTGAAAACTAAACCCAATTGCAAGGTCTGTGACAATGTTAGTTGTTGTTGTACTCTTTTAACTCTGAAACAGTGCTTTAGCCAGTAATTTATAATGAGTTTAATTGAAATGCTTCAACAAACATGACAAAAATGGATTAAACAATAAAAACGTTATTGTGTATCCTGCAGTGTTATTTGTATTAATAATGAAATGGAGAGGGAGTCTTTATTTTTGCACACCTATTTATTTTAAGCTTTTCCGTGCACCTGATTACTTACACAATCTGTATGAAAATTATGTTTCACAATGTAATGTACAGTACATACATGTAGGCCAGGAATAGTTTTCATGTTAAAGATAATATTGGAACTTAAATGGCATAAATATGGTCATGCAAAATTTCCTTTGTTTCGAAAAGAGTAGTTTTTATTTTCCACCTTATTGCTCCATCAAATGCCTGAATTTTGTTGACATTGTAGTTAGGCTGTAAGGCTTCATAGCCGAAAGCATTTTATTTGATTGCACACGTATACACATATGTACATGTAGTACCGGTACATGTACATTGTACATAAACGAAGGTAAACATACATGTACAATGTGATTATTCATCATAAACTTTTTTTTTTTTTTTTTTTTTTTTTCATTTCTTTTGTAGACTACACAGTTGACCCACTTTCATGCTGAAAATGTGCCGATAGTCATGTTAAAACTCCGGAATAACATAGTTTCATTCATCATTTCACAATAATCATAGTGCGGAAAGCCTCCCTGTTGTGCATTTTGCAAAAGCGCATGCCCAGAGATTCACCCCTTTGTAGCACCCCGACGTTGCGGTTTAGCTGTGCCCCTTTCGCGCCACAACTGACTCCAGGGCAACACAAAAGAACCGCTCTTTTAAAGTTGCACTTTCGTTTGGGGGTCGCTATAAAAATTAAGTGTTTCATATTGTTCATTAGCGATATTTCAGAGGTTCAGTCACACAAAAACCACCTTCATTGATGTCTTAACTTTTCGGAGAAATTGTTGAAAAGCCCCATTCTGTTTGATATCAGGTCCCTCGCTTGTTTCAGACTTACTCATATGGCGATTCCACGTGTAGCACACACGCTTTGAGGCAGCATTTTCAAAAGAAACACGCATGACTGGAATTATGCCTAGTGCTCCGAGTCCCACGTCTCAGATTTTGAGGACAAAAAAAATTGGTACACTGAAATTCCTTCGTTCAGTAATTACACAGAACAACAAATTTCTCATCTAGCTCCAAGACTTATGTTCTTGAAACTACTAGCATCATGATTATCCCTGCTCATTGGGCCAATGAAACATTTCAAAGACCATCTCAGCTCCCTGGGGAGTATACAGCTCAATGCTGCTGTTCGGCACAAAGCAGCTAGAATCAACCACAATGTACCATCTCTGCCCTCACAGGTACCCATTTATTCCTGCATGGGGAGAAGCAATGAGTGACAAAGCGCCTTGCCCAAGGGCACACGCACCATAAGCCCAGGCTGGACTCGAACCCACAACCTGCAGAATTAACCACAGACCACGAAGCCATGGCACTCCACAATGTTTGTATTCTACATTTTAACAAAATGTCCAACTATTACAGTTTGTGGTACATGTATAATTTGAAACTGCATTTTCATAGTACAATACTTTTCTCGAATATGCTCCTTTAAACATGTACTGGAGTTTAGAGCGTTAACGCAACAAAAGAAATAATGCTTCATCCCGGAAATGGGTCAAACAATCTGTACATTGTACATGTACCGGTACGTGTACCCACCACCCCTTGCAGAAAATTTAGTTAGCTTTACATGGTCACAAGGTGTGACGCACGCTGTTTCTTTCACCCCTTGGAACCAATCTGGATTTGCTCCCATTCTGTTACGGAATTTTTGTTTATTTTTGGTGGGGGAGCTACGGTATTTTGAATAAGACATTGAAAAGAGTTTGTCGACTTTGGAACACCCGCTCTGCCTGAGTAATCTTCGATGAAAAAAGTATTAAACGGCCCGTTAATGTAATATTTTTAATGCGGTCCCTGAAAGTGCACTTTTGTGTCCCATTTTAACCTTATTTTCAATATTCATTTTTGCCATTTTGGGGGCTATTTTCATGGGTATTTTGGTGCCTTTTTAGTTTTATGCTGAAAGTGCACCTTTGTGTCCGACACCATTTTAACCTTACTGGTATTTTCAGTTTTCTTTTTTGCCATTTTTTGGGCTATTTTCATGGGTATTTTGGTGCCTTTTTAGTTTTTATGCTAATGCAAATTTCATGAGCAAAAGTGTGATGTCAGTCTGGGCAGAAAGCTCAATGTTACAGCTATTTCAGCACAAAAAGGTGCTAGAGTTTTGGATATTTTGCTGTCGTAAATATTCTTTTCTGTGGTGATTCGAGTGTCGGCGCATGACAGTAAAGCCAATGAGCAAACATTTCTAAAGATTGTTTTCAATGAGCAAAGTTTTGGGGTTCACATTTTGAACATAAAGCACCTAAACCTGAACATGCCTTCCTAAAGTGACATCACAGCAACAGCAACAGCGCCCTCAATTGTCAGGAAAAAATTGAAAATGTTTAAAAGAAGTGCACTTTCAGTGGTAGGGATTTCAAAAAGTTTTCATACATGTTAAGAGGAGTAGAAAGTTGCACAAATACGAATCAATTTCATTACGTACGTACATGTACTACTGTATGTATGTACCGGTACATAGGTTCCCATAGGGTTGTTGGTCAAAATTAAATCCACTTTCAACGGTACGAATGAAAACAAAAATGCCTCTTCCACTAAAATCCCTTTTTTTCCCCCTCGCAATCCCAAACTTTTTTTGTTCATAATGTACACATAAACATGTACATGTTCATGTAATGAGAAAAAAAAAACTGTTTGTTTAAATGGGAAGCGCAGTAACGCACAAAATGGGCGATACAAAGATTTAAATATCCCTTTTCCATTAAATTACGGTAGGCACATATATACATGTACAGTGTAATGAAAACTTACATGTACATGTACAAAAATATGTACAGTAGTACATCATGTGGTACATGTACATGTGTATACTACACATTTTCACATTCACTTGACTTATTGAAGCAGTGTAAACAATGATTTGTTTAGTAACATTTTTTCAAATTTATTTTATCAAGTGTAATTTATGCCAGTAAAGACACTTGGAAAAATTGAATCAAAGACAGATTTAATCTCTGATTGTTTGACCATGACTTTTAAAATTGATTAAAAAAATTACCATTCATATTGATTTTGGTGTTATTTATTTTTTGCTCACCAACAGATATTCATTGATCTAATCTAAATGTAGAATCTAATGATCTAAATATAGAATCTAATAGGTTATGTGAACTCCCTTTTGTCATCACCAGGTTTTTCTTTATAAAAAAATCTACTTCATAATTACATCTTTCTGCGAGCCAAAAGCTTTTTGTTCCAAAAAAGTGTGATTAATATTCAAAAGCCAAGCCGACAGCTCAACAGCACTCTCTCATCAGAGTAGTTATTATCTTTTAGAATTGTTCTTGTGTTTTCTAATTTCGTCCGTCCTAAAATTCAGGATGGGACGGGCTGCCAGTTCGGCCAATCCCAAAAGCCCAACTCAAATTCATGAACGTATGGTGTACATATGTACATGTACATGAACACGTACACACAAAGCAGATGGAATTTTACTAGTATTGAAATTGACCAGCTATTACACATGCTGCTGGCACGGTGCCAACAAAATCCTGCGATGCCTTTTCCCCCCCTTATTTTTTCTTTGGTAGTTCCCACTCCGGATTGGGCAGTGTTATCATGAGGGCGCGCGGGCGCTACATATGGAGTAGGCGGGTAGGGTACTGTGGGACCATCTACTATGGTCTGGTGGCACATTTATTTAGTTTTTTTTACAGATTTTTTTCTCAATCGGGTGTCATGTAGGCCCTACTCCCCAAGCCACCCAATGCACCTGCTACGGTCATTGAAGTCTTTGCCACACTGCATGCCCTTGTTTCTAGGGGGCTCTGTGCCCGTACGCTAGCTTCTGTTCGCTTGATCCTCCCTACCTCTTCTGTCCAATCCATATGGGTCAGCTGCATGCAGGCATGCACCATTTTTTTGTGTGAGTGCATGGTGTACGTGTGTGTATGCCCACTATCTGACTATGGACTTTCAAACACAAAGGAGTGCATGGATGAGGGACTCGCCGAAACAGCACGCGGTACACTGTGCGTTGAGCATGAAGGCCCTTTGTGTGGGAGCCAGTTGTGGTCATATTGAGCACTGTACTTGATCATCTGAGCAAGCCAGGAACGAGGATGCGGGGAAAAGAATTGGCCGAGATAACGATGCGGATTTTAGGGTTAGATATTGCAAGGTCAGTATATTGTTCATAGTCCTTCTTAAACGAATTTCAACCCAACTACACCATTGGGTGTGATGTTTTGTTTTTTTGGTTTTGGTTTCCATATGGTTTTAGCTTTAAATATTCAAATATGTATTTGCCAAGTTGCTTTAGCATGCTGCCCTTTTATCGTTGTCGGTTGCTTTGAATGGGAGATGCCCATTTGGAGATTAGGGATGCGTGGTGCGTGTACTTTGTAGCCATCGATTGATCAGATGATATTGACTTTAGTTGTGGCTTCCGGATGCTTGCCTGATTAAGATCGTGATTCGACACAGGATTCATTTGGGCCCTAGCCTCCTGTATTGATATGTGTGTGCGGACAAAACCGGAGCCCGCATAGTAATGGCTAAATTTGGGTGAGTGGAACTCGTTTGGATTTTTGAATTTTTTTGAATTTTGTTCCTGTCAGATACTTGTGTGCAAAATGTTATCATGATGTAAACTATAATTACAAAAATATGTATTTTTCATGGCAAAGAAAAAATTCTCATTCTTGGAATATAGAACATTTCGGGCACGCTAGTGAATCTGTCAATTCTCTCACGAAGGCCCCCTTCAATGGCGAAAGCATTGTGCTAGCTATTGTTCAGATAAATCCGTCACGGGCAGTTGCTTTGTACGTGTACAACACACAGTAGTTTCTCCATTGAAGGGGGCCTCATGAGTGTAGGCCTACATGTATCATGAGCCCAATTTTTCAAGATGAAAAACAATTAAAATTGACTAGCGTACATTAGGTTGCCCATATTGTGTTGTTTTCCTGGCAAAATTGTGAATTTTATGGATGATATTCGAAAGCAGTAAGATACATTTCGTCAGCTCTAGTTGAATGCCCATTTTCATGATTTTGAACTCAAACATATTGTACTCGAACGCCCACTATCAAATTACAACATGTAGTTCTTGCGTGCAGCTCTGAAATTCTTTAGCTTTAACAATAAACCACTTGCATGCATGTACATGTATTGTAATACTAACAATTGGATAAAAACAAAATTTGGTCTCTAATATTACATTTTTAAAATTCGTATGTACGGATGAAGACCGGCCATTAGCAATTAAGTAACATTTTCGGTATAAAGCCCCACATTGATGAGTTTAATGTGACATCATTAACACGTTATTGCAATTGATTAAATTAAAATGTTTCACAAATACATTACACACGTGGGAGGTCTATTCAATTTTCCCCCCCATTTGTGGTGTAGATGGTTGTTAAATGTCCTTGAAATAAAGTGCAGTTGATTTACTGTGAAACACATTGTGTTTTTTTTTAAAGGAGCTTCTTTATGAATAGCAGAATTTTTGTAAATAGGGTTTCTTGGATTTTTTTTTGGGGGGGGGGAAGGATGCTTCTGCTTTATGAGGGGGGTATCTCCTGTTGTGGGCAAAAAAATTACCATGTGCATGTTAAAATCGTACTAAAACTTGTTGTTCAGTAATAAGAAAAAAAGTTTAAAAACTGTTGACTGCCCATGTTTTACTTTTATACATACATGTACAAATAATCTGCATGTCCTTTTTTTCATCTGATCTTTTTTTTTCCACTATAAAAATAGAACAGATTCCCCGATGGATTAGCATAGCCCATTATACGCTCATATGAACATATTGGATTTTTGGGGGGGGGGGGAAAGGAGGCTTCTGCTTTATGGGGGGGTTTCTCCTGTTGTGGGCAAAAAAAAATTACCATGTGCATGTTAAAATCGTACTAAAACTTGTTGTTCAGTAATAAGAAAAAAAAGTAAAAAACTGTTGACTGCCCATGTTTTACTTTTATACAAACAATCTGCATGTCCTTTTTTTCATCTGATCTTTTTTTTTACCCACTATAACAATAGAACAGATTTCCCGATGGATTAGCATAGCCCATTATAAGCTCATACAAATCTGATTTTTTTTTAATCCGGATGTGAAAAACCCTCACATTTTGGAATATATACCACACTGGCATATTATGATTGCTTTGCCAGATTTGATGGAATTCTCCACAACAGACCAAGCCTTTGCATTCCTGGCAAGGTCAAATGTGACACCGAAATATTTGACCTGCCGGTCATCTGAATGTTGACAGATGGGCTTCTCGCTCAAGAATCCAACTACCAGTTCAAGGAGTAAATAGCGCGCCGCTTCCCAAATTTTGTTTTGAGCAATGTTCTCCAGCGTATCCCCAACCAACAGAATACCACTACAGGAACATGTCCTGTGTATTTTGTTTTCGCTGTTTGGAGAACTTGTTTTTACAAAATGTTCATATTTGTAAGGCCGAGTAAAAAAAAAATAGTGGTTTCGCGTCCAGCCTTTTGGGAAAAATTGAAGGAGGTGGGCACTTTTTTTTCTTTCTTTTCTTCCCCAAGATGGCAAATTTTCCAAGACGAATTCTGCGATTTTCTTGACTATTTTGCTGATACAAAATTGTATCCGAAGGAACCATAACCCTTTCTATATACAAGAGCGGCAATTTTGTTGGAAACACAAATAAAAAGACAATCTATTGACAATATTTGTGCAAAATATATTGCAAATTTATGAATTAAAAAAATAATAAGGAGGCCGTCGGGAGAAAAGGCAGGGGGCAGGGATGAGAAACTGGTTTATTTTTTTAATTGGCCTAACATGTATGGTAGGTTAATACCGGTAATGTTTACGTAGATGTGAAACTGAAAGTACAATATTGCTGTAATATCCTGCCAAGGCAATAAGTCAATGTAAAAGTTTTATGAATATTTAATCAGTATTATGGGCATTTCAAATTGAAATATATGTGACCCATCACCACAAAATGATCTTGCTTTCTAATGGTGCGTAATATAACATAATGGGGGCAATGAGTTCAGTAACGGAAATATACCGCTAACCAAACTGGAGTTGTAAACGTACTTTTTTGAGGGAGAAAAAGGGCAACGGTGTATCACAGTGGACGAACAATCAACTGACGAAACATGATGAAAAAAGGGATTTGAAGATGTTTGATTGAACAAAAAACCACTTGGAAAGGTACGATAGAACAGGACTTACAGATAATCAGAGCTTTACCTGAAAACAAATAATCCCCCACCCCTTCAAATTTTGGCTTTGCCTGGCCGCCGCGCTGTAGAGTACTGCAAAAAGGCAGATTTGAACTTTACATGGATGTTCATTTCATGGCGACAGGTCACATATCTTCAAAGGTCCCAACATCTTGATCCCAGCACTTTGAAATATGGCAGTTTGTTAGATTTCTTATAAAAGCTACAACTGTGTTTCCACTTTCAGAAACCTCTTGAATAAATCCAGTGTTTGTGGGATTTTTGGTTGTTTATACATGTACTTTTAATTTCCACCATGTCCACCGGAACCAATTTTCTTTTTCATACAGATTCTTGAAAAGGGCAACCACTAAGTTGAAAATGCAATTTCCACAATTCTTCCTAGTATCAATGGCCTTCACTATTGCTTGTGAATGTGAAGTTCCCAGCCTCATTCCACAATTTAACCCTGACCCAGATCTCTTTTGAAACTCAAGGTGTGTTTTTTTTTCTTCTTTTTTTCCCAAGTCCAGTAACCTTTCATTTCCACTGTGTTAACCGAAAGCGAAAGAGATTAAAGGTGGCATTGAATTTATTCAACCTAGTTTTTTGTCCCACAGGGACAAAAAAAACTCGAGATTGAATTTTTTTTTTGCCCGCAATCATGCCTGGTATTTTGCATTTAAGAATTTCAAATGGTTCTGAAGGGGAAATGTCCACGTGATGTTTGCATTGTAAAAAATACCGCGTGTGTAGTTTCTATTTCGGAGCGAAACACTTCAGAAATCCACACAGCTAAATAAAGCTTTTGAGGGAAAATGCATTGTGTTGAAATTGTTTCGGTAAAATATGTGGAATATGTATTCTGCTTATGTATTATGTAATCCCTTTTTTCTTGAAAATGACAACATACAAAGCGCAATTATTTTACAGGTTGCTTGATACTATTAGGTAACATTCATGTAGGCTATTTCATAATACTTTTGGCAGTTTTGTTTTTGAATGTTTGCAAACAATACCTACCGGTAAGGCCAAAAAAAAAAAAATAGTCGGTCTCTGGTCAGACCGAAGTTCAGGAATTGATGCGGCGACGCGTTTTATTTTTTTTGGGGGGGTGGCTTTTTTTTTTTTTTCAAGCTTGAATGGTACGGTACAGACAAGGTGGGTATTATTTTGCTTTTTGTGTCCTCATTGTACATTGGTGTCCTCCATAATATGCCTTGGTGCCCTTCATCATTTGCCTTGGTGCAATTTCCCCATTCCTTGGTGCTCCTTGGTACAACAATTTGAGAAGGTGCGGCAATAGAGGGCGCTGTTGTAGCTTCCGTGTTAATTTGAAGAAAAAAAAAGGTTGACGCGCATGATTAAAATCGACGCGCACGCTGACCAGATACCAAGGTTTTTTTTTCTTTGCCTAATTGCAAGAGTTTTGGATGTATACAATGTACGGTATGTGCTGTATTTTTGGCAAGATGTGTACTGCATTTTTGGTAGTTTCAAGGTTTACGGTTGAGACCATTTGACATTTGTTTACAAAATTGTATGTTGTGGTCAAATGATGCTGACTTTCAGCAAACTGTCGTCCTCTGCGCTGCATGTACATTTTTATGGTTGAAAAGTGTTGACATGTGGGCCAAATAACATACATGTGTACATGTACAAATGATGTTTAACTGTTTGGCTTGCCCGGCAGTTTGCCTGTGGGCATGACGTCACAGGTCACATCGCCTACAGATTTAGGCAACTCTAAATTTTCAATCCTTCTAGTGCACCACACGCTTGTACATGTACACTGTACATGTACAACCGCAGAAGTCAAGGATCATTTTGTGGCAGCTACCGGTAGTACATGTACCTTCATCCTTAAAGCAATTAAACTTCTCTTGACTGTCGACACTGACCGCCCAGGAGCGATTTTCTCGTAGAAATCAGTACCCAAGACAACAAGATTTCTTGAGAAGA